AGGTTCATCTTAATTAGAAATAAACTAGTACTAGTACCTATAATAAGCTTGGCAAGTTAGGACAAAATCATTTTGTCACCAACATGCAGGCTCTACGAAAATCTTTGTTGATTTTTGCTATTATTATGACGGTAATGATCCAGAATAAAGCAATGGCGGCACAACATGTTGTTGGGGGAAGCCAAGGATGGGATGAATCCACTGATTTTAATGCTTGGGCGTCTGGTGAAACATTCAAAGTTGGAGATACACTAGGTTGGTTGATTGCTCTTCTTTTGTTCATATATATATATATATATATATATATATCCAAAATTAGGGATAATAGCACTTTCGGTCTCTCAGTTATTGATAAAATTTTGATTTTGATCTTTGCGATATATGTCTAAGTACATTCGAGTATTCGACCTTTAACTAAAATGTCCATCTTTTATCCTTTATGTAGAAAGTATGTTACATCTATACTACATATAGGACTATATTACCCTCAAATATGGAGTAACAAATGCAAATTTAACATATACGTGAGTAACTAAATGCACCGCTAGAAGTTCAGCAAAAAACGACCACGATCGACCAACCAATTTTGGTCGGTTGGTCGGTTTTCCAAAATGTTTTAATTTTTAATTTTTTTTTACGAAACCGACCAACTTTGGTCGGTTTTGTTTAGCGCAAAAATGCGGGAAACTATTTTTGAGAGCCGCAAAATTTATTTTTCAAGAAACTGACCAACTTTGGTCGGTTTTTCATTAAAATAAATTAAAATTTAAATTTAAAAAATCGACCGAAATCGGTTGGTTAATTCGGCCGGTCATTTTAAAAAACCGACCGAATTTTATTTTTTAATAAAAATGACCAACTTTGGTCGGTATAAATAAATGAAAGACAGTCTTAAAACAAAATGCACCAATTGTCTAGTGGTAGAATAGTATCTTGCCATATTACAGACCCCGATTCGATTCCCAAATTGGGCATTTTTTAATTACATAATTAAAATACCGACCAACTTTGGTCAGTTTCTTCGGCAATTGTTTTTTTTTTAATTTAATTGACCGACCAACTTTGGTTGGTATGCTCTTCCGACCTTCAAAATACCGACCACACATTAATGGTCGCGTTTTGGACGGTTATTGATCATTACTGACCAATTTTGGTCGATTTTTTTAGACAGTTTTTTTCGAATTTCTAGTAGTGATGGTACATGGTTAAGAATTTACAAAATTTGTAAAGATTCGCGAGCCGAGTGATCAGACATACATATTTCAATTAATTGAAGTTTAGATATATTTAGCCAGATATCACAACGTCCAATCATTTTCATTAATGTGATCAAGTTCCAACTTTTCAATATATTTTGCAGTATTTAGGTACAATCCAGGCCTTCACAGCGTTGTGGAAGTTGAGGGTGAAAGTGCATACAAGAGTTGTGATACAAGCAGTTCAGTGAACTCAATGAGTGCAGGTAACGATGTTGTTAAACTAAACAAGCCAGGGACTCGATATTTTGCCTGTGGAACAGCAGGTCACTGTGATCAAGGAATGAAGCTTAAGATCACAACTGTTACTGGAAATGCACCTTCTAATCAGGCTGCTACTTCTTCGAACCCTAGTTCTTCTTCTTCAGCCGATTCGCGTCGTTTTTCTACTGCGTTCTTCACTTTCATAGCAGCAATATTTACTCTACATATGGCTCTAGTCTTCCAGTTATAAGATAAACTTTTGCTTTATTTGGTTCTATGTTTTGCACTTGATGAGGCGGAGTATATTGCTGGTATTTATAGGGAGTGGAGTACTATGTTAATTTTGTCTATAAGTTGTTCATGTGTTGTATTGTAATTCTGTTACTTCAAATTTTGTAAGGAGATCAATAATGACAGCCATTTGTTTCTTTTGTTGTTTCACATTTTTTTTGACGTATCTATTAATGCTTTTCTTAGTGAAATCATTCTCCTGTGTTGGTTACCCTGAATTGTTGTAAATGTATTGTTCATTAGATGCTACCGGATGACAGGTATTTATTTTATTTTTATGAGCATCATTCTTTCCGGTTACAAATGAAACAGTTGTCTTCGGTCTTAGCTATTATTTGCCTTCGGTTCCACATATCACCCTCTTATGCAATGACTTAACATAGCATATTTCACCCTATACAGATAGTCTTCATGCTTTCCGGTGATATAACTTTGTGTCGTCGGAAAGTTGGTAGAAATATAATAATATAATTGAGCATAATTTTCATGAATATATAATTTAAATTATAAAAATACATTTATTTAAATAATTATTTTTATATTACGTGCGTGGAATATATATTTTACAACTTTTATTTTCTTTCATTCTAAATTGTGTAAATAAATTTTTGAATATTTATTGTTAATACTAAAATTATTATTATGAACACAATATTCTAATTAATTTTTTTACTATGCTCATTATTTTGTTATTCCAGCACTATATATGCTTAAATACTTTTACTTTTTTAATTTATAAATAAAATTTATTTATTCTATAGGTAAGTCCATAATATAAATTAAAAAGGGGAAATCATAATATTAAAAAGTTTTAAAAAAATAAAAAGAAGATAAATGTTTATAATTTAGAGGGTAAAATAGGTATTGGCAATCCAAAAATTGGAAAATCTAGTTGAGTGACCTTCTGAGTGTTATAGGCATAGTTCAGACGTTGTTACAAACGAAAGAAAAGTAACTTTAGGAGATAATTTGGAATAGTTGAGTGACCATTTGAGTAATGGAGTCCAATTTAGTTCTATCAAGTTCAAATTAGATGAATGAGATGCTTTCAATTCCTTGTAGTCTTTTAGATGAGCGGGTCTCTCATATCCAATAACGAAAATAAAAGAATTTTACACTGTCTAGTCAATTAAATGAAATTATTATCTATAAAAAATATGATTATTTCTAGAAAAATAAGACAATCTTACATACTATAACAAGTTAATTAAAATGCACAAGTTTACATTATCATTATATAAAAGTTAAATTCACATTTTTTTTGTGTTGCTATGCAAATTGGCATATTGGTTGGTTAATGGCATGACATGGGTGTATTTTGAAAGGATTGTCGAGGGAGTTTAATAAATATCCCAAAAGAGAAACCCAATCTGCAAACCTATTGGGTAAATAAAGGCGAGTAAACTAGATTCGTCTTAAATATATCAATTTACTAATACATGTTAGATGATTACATATAAATACTCAGATATTATAGCCATTTATATAAGTTAAATTGATAGAAGCAATAGAATTATATTTTCCTCGATCTACACGTTTTCACCAGAAAAAGATTGATTGAGATTGTTTCTCGGGTGAATTCATAGGTTATTACCACTATGGTACCGAAGTTTGTACTATTAATACACACAAAAAAATGTGTCATTTATTAATGGAAATTGATGTTTTAGTCAGCCAATCTCCAAGGATCCTGGGGCATGTAGCATTCTAAATATTACTCTTTTCGGTCCAAAATAAGTGATTTTTTTAGCTATTTTCACACAATTATTAAATTAACGTTTTAACATTAATTAGCAATGAAATTGACCATATTAATCTTTACTATCTCTTTACATAAATACTCCTAACACTATTTACTCCAAGGGCAATGTAGGAAAAAAATAGTTAATTCATTCTTGAAATATGAAAAAATCATTTATTTTGAACCACAACAAAAAATTCCAAAAATTACTTATTTTGGACCGGAGGGAGTAATATGACTACTTCTATTCAATTTAAAGTAAGATAAGATGCTGACTCCTGGGGCATGAAACATGTCAAACATTAGAAAACCTATTTATATGTAGTTTTAAGATACACCTTTTTTTTTTTTTTTTTTTTTTCAAAACCAATACTTTGCGTTACAACAGCAAAGGGTGTTTTTAACAGACGTGATCGAGCAATCATTTCTTCGTATGATACCAATTCGACCGTCCAAATTCTTATCCTAATAGAGTACCTAATAACCAAAAACCAGGGGCGGACCCAATGTTGCGGAAGCCAAATGTATATAGTGTGAATAAGTCACAACTACTATACCAAAAATTATGACAGCCACCAAATAATAAATAAGACAATAAAACAACAATAAAGGGAACACCAGAATTTACGAGGTTCGGCTAATTTTGCCTACTCCTCGGACACAACCAATATTTTATTTCACTCCAAAAATACAAGTGAAATAATACTAAAAAGAGAAGATACAAATGCCTTAAACAGATGAGAAGGCAAATGAGAGGTGTGTATCAATCCTAAACATTAGGCCTTCTTTTATAGGGGAAAAATCCCCCCCAAACTTAACTCCCAACCAATGTGGGACTTTGGCATTTTGCCAAACTTCAACACCCAAGTGGTGAGAGGTGGGTTCAACTGAACCCGCTTCGTCAAAAAATAATACTGTGTACATATAAATTATGGCTAAAGCAAGGTAAATTTTGTATAGAAATTATTTTTGAACCCGCTTATACAGCTTATATCGCTTATGTTAGTTATGGACTTCTCCGACTGAACCCGCTTGCACAAAATCTTGGGTCCGTCACTGCCAAAAACACATATAATTCACACAGCCTCCTCAACCCAAAGAAAAGAAAAGTAAAAATAGAAAGAGAAGAGAGCAAACATCCACCACAAAATCTGAAATCACCAATAAATCTAAAAGAATAAAAATTGACCAATCGCTACATTTTTTATAAACCAGAAATGGTTGTTTTCAACTTAAAAACTCGGTAGACAATGGATCACCTCTGTACCCTTCTCCGCTTAAGTACCAGACTTGTGTAACGGATTTTAACTTGTAATGTACGTCATTTGCATATAGTATATCGCCCGATATATTACCTTTGCCAGTGAACAAAAGCCTAGGGGCAAATGACCAATATCCTTGCACTTTGAAGTGAACATCTAAAAACGTTTTCATCAAATAAACCTGCTGCTTTTTACACAAGAACATATTTAAAACATCTGTGATACTTAAATTAGCAATGCCTCACACTAATATGTGATGTCTCCCTCGGATATTCTACAAGCAACTGAGAGATCAAAACCATGGAACAGCAAGGTAGTCGCTCGATCTAACACCATGAAGCAAGATTTAACAGTTATGTTTCCACTAGTAAGTTGCAACAAAAGAAACCAGTAAAATACTGTAAGGAAATAATCCCCACCGGATATGACATGAGTAGAAAGCCTCTACAGGATTGAAAATGAGCCACAACCTACCAAGATCCAAAAAGAAAAAAGAGCTGAAAATTGCAGTTAATTGGGGATACCTCCATCAGGAAGTTCCCAATTATCTCCATCATCATCATTCCTCTTGTTCTTGGATGTCTCTTGCTTATCCTGTCCGAAATTTCTTGATGGTGGTGGCCCACGTCTGTTCAAGTGAAGGACGTGAGGTTGATAAATAGGCACAGAAAATTAGTAAATTCGAAACATCTGTTTCGCATCTTAGCGTAAGTTGGTTCATAAGATTTGAATTAGCAGATAATGCATTTGAAAGAGCAACTTCCACAAAGCTCACAGATTAGTACCCTTTTGGATCTCATACATCACAAATCAAGCAAACGACAAGGTGCATAATGATCCACAATCTACATAGCTTTTTCCTTTCAAGATAAAATGAGCATAATCTTTGGCAAGAAACACAGGCTAGTAGAACTAAACTCTAATGTCAGAGGCGCAAAAACATAGAGCACATAGTGTAAAGGTTGTCTTTACAGTGGCAAAGATTTCAACTTTGAATATTTCAAAATCACTTTAGCTACCTCCTTCAAGCTAATGACATGAGAGTTAGATCGAGCGCAATGCAGCTTAACCAGAATTCCACCTATCTACAGATCAATCAATCAATTATCATTGTCAAATTAATTGAAGCTGTATGAATCCTCTGTATTCATTTTGCTCTAAGTTAGACTATTGCAATGTCCATCAACCTACGTAATCATCATCCTTTATCTTGACGTGCAGTGGCGGTGGCAGGATTTCCCTATGAGGGGGTTCAAAAAATGAAAAAAGTTAAAAAATTAAATGAGATTGTAGCTAGTAGGAATTGAACCAATGACCTTGACCACTAAGCTATGGCTTTGGGCTATGTTAAGGGGATTCAAAACATAATATATATAGAGAGAGATAAAAACAGATTTTACCTTATATATACAGTGTAATTTTTCGGCGAAGGAGTTCGGATAAACCGTTTCCGGCCCCCTAAATCTGCCCCTGCTGACGTGGACTGACTATATTTTACCAAACTCACTTTGACAGAGGTAAATTCTCATCTATCTACGAATTCAAATAATACACAGGAGCCCAAAACAAGTTCAGTATCCTCTACTTATAGAAGTTCTATGCAATATATTTACACAATCATGTCATTGTCAGCTAAATCGCTTCATGAGCATTAATTGGTAATCTATTAAAAATAGTAACTAACATGCTATCACATGTTAAAATTTACTGAAAGTGTAAAAAACTCTTTACACTGTTAATGTATATAACTTAAATCCCTACTTAAATAAGTTATATCACGTTAGTAACTATGAAAAATTGCCAACTAACGCGTACGAAGAAATTTAGCTGTAATTACCTGATAAGTGACTTGATCGTGTAAATAAATCATTTACACTGTCAGTGTATACAACTTAATCAAAACTAAATTACTCTACTAACAAGATTCTAAGGAAAGTAAAAAAATAAAAATAAAGCAGCCAAAAACAGAGAGTAAAATGGGGAGAGGAGATAATCATTAGGATCACCTTCGACGATTACGCTTAGCAGCCTCACGAGTCTTGCGCTTATCTTTGTCTTGTGTGTTGTCAAAAAACCTCCTTCGCGTACATTCCTGAATAACTCCAGCTCTCATCACCTCCCTTCGAAAGCGACCAATAAGCTTTTCCTCGTGCTCATTATCATCCACAATTACCTGAATATTGTAAGCCGATCTGAAGAAAAGGGTATTTGCGTAGGCAAGAGAGGGACAAACAACGGAGGTAATATCAGAATTTGAAGACGATGATGATAATGGTAAAGGGTTGTGGTTATTACGGTCGTTGGTTGAGATAAGAGGTAGTAATAAATTAACCTCCTGGTTGGGGCTAGAAGATGAAGAAGAGAGGGAATCGGTGGAGAATTGGAGGAGAGGAGTTTTTTTTTTGGG